TCGTGGGCCGCAGGGCGAACCCAGGATCCCGCCCCACGACGGTGCCCTCCACTGGGCCTCAGCGTAATCCTATTGAGCATGATTTTTAGGTCATCATCTCTCTTCGAGACCATATGTGTTGTCATCATGGACCCGAGCCAGGCCGTCCTTAGCCACCCGTACTCCCGCCCAGCTCGACCTGCTTACTACAGGTGATGTGTCAAGCTCAGGATGGCCGATAGCTCTCCTGGTTCGGGTCACGTGCCCAAAGCTTGACCAATTTACGGTTGGTGTGCCAGGGGCTATCTCTGTCCGGACACGGGCTCTGGACAGAGAGACAGGAGAGCTGCCATGATGAAGCCCTACTCCGCTGGGCCTGAATTGGTGGCCTCGGGCCCTGGGCCTGATGACGCATGGGCGTGAATCCTCTCGCGATGCACGCAGGACTCCAGCCAAGGCAGCACAGCTCCAGAGCGGCATGCAAGACGGCCAATGGATGGCTCCACGCGTTTCGAGGTCAGGCCGCATCGCCATAGCCTCTGGAGTAAAGCTGCATGGGCGACCCCGGCAGCAGACTGCAGGCCCGACTCACCCGTCTGCCCTCCAGAGGGTACACCGACCTGAGGCAGAGCCAGCGGCACGCAGCATCGAGGGCCACGGCCATGAGGTGCCAGCCCAGGGCCGTGCCTCCGAGTTCCTTGTGTGGCGACCCCGACGGAGAGGTCATGGGCGTCCAACCCCAGGAGCCCTGCAAGGGAGTGGAGTGGCTCGTCGGCCAGGAGATCCCGTGCAGCCGCTGAGGAGCCCTGTCCCGGACAGGCCCCTTGGGGATCCACGAGAATTCTACCTGGTTCCCCGGGAGGCTGGCATGCCTCCCTTGGGGTTGAGCCACGTCTCCAAAGAGCGCTGCTCCAATTCCAGGCTGGGGCGTCCTTGGCCCTTCCTGACTTGGCACGGAGCATTGGCTCATGGAGACGGGCTCGCTTTGCTCCCAAGCAACCTCCACCTCCGTGGTCAGAGGGAGCTGGGCCCGATCAACGTGGCTTGCACTAGAGCCAGCGGCACCACCCCTGTGGCGAGGATCAATAAAGGCCCATCCTGGTGGGGGAAAGCCCCTAGGCCCTGTGTAGCCACGCATCTGCCAGGAACAGTTTTATGGAGATTATCTCTCCATGGGCACCTTACCAAGGAGCCAGCACTGCTCAGGGCCTATGTGACACTCTCCGCCAATTGGTCGTGGCTCTGCCTGCGGCCCCAAGACCCGGCATCAATTTGTCCCCCCGGCCCCCCAACCTTACCCATTCGTTCTGCGCTCTTTCAGTGGGAGCCACTCCCGGCCAGATTCCTGGAAGTCTCACATGCCCACTGTTGCACCTGGCATCCCTCCAAACACGAGACTCAGTGATCTTGACATGTAGGTCAGAGCTCACCTTCTCTGGGTGACACGAGGCATTGACCCACAGGACCCTGGAATTTCTGCCGGGACTATGGAGGACCTCTTCTGTCTTCAGTGACCGCCGCTCTCGGGATATTTTGGTGCACTTGCCAGCTCTCCATTTGAGTGGTGCTCCAGACTCACGCTCCGACCTGCATTTTGCTTATGGGTTAGCACATGGAGAGTGTTTAACTTCGTTCCCAAGGGACTTCGACCTTATTGATAAGACTGAGGAGGGAATTAGTTCTATTGCATGCCATGCATCTGAAGGTGCCTCCTTTGGATTGAGGTGTAATGAATACCCTCCAGGTGTAGAGAAGCCCAGCGGGAATCGGAGTCTAGGGCTCTTCCTGTTGTGGCCACCTATGTTTGAGGTGGATGCCAGGAGATTACAGTCCCATGGGGCATGGCAATGCAGCCTCCATTGCTCAGGGCTGGTCTGCTCTGCTATTCCAAATCTCGAGAGAAGTCTGCTCAAGTGTTCTGGCTCCATTCAATGTTCCATTTTCTACTCCCACTGCCCATTCTTGGAAATTGAATCATTATAACCTCTCCACCTGAATTTAGGGATGTTCCCATGCACATTGCATCACCTGGAATTTCTCCATATACTGTGTCAGCAATATTTAAAGGAAGCACGGTACCCTTGCATTCAGTTGAATGGGATCCATAAGTGTTCAGCAAAGAGGGCCACTCAAGCGACCCCGGTATTTCTGCAGGGTGCTTAATGGTCATATACTTCCCCGATGGCCCACTGCACAGGGCAGTCTTTGGCAGACATGCCAGCCCTCCCTTTTAAAGTTGGGTCTAGGGACCACGCATTGGCTCATTTTTCCCTGATATGATTTCCCCCATCCCACCACTCAACCTGTTGTCTCTATCTAAGTGCTCTTTCTTCCACTCATGAAAGTGTCTTTCTGAATGATTCAAGACACTTAGGGAGGTGAGCCAAGGCTCTGTATGTGGCATCCCAGGAGATGTTTGTGATGGCACAGGAAGCCCCAGGGTTGGATCCTGTCTTGAGCCCTGGAGGTCCACTGATCTGGTGGAAAAGCATTGTGGAGTTGTGAGGGATTTGTTTCCTTGAGTCACATTTGTGAGTACCTCACCAGGGCCATTGGACTTCCCATGGATCCTGAGCCAGGATGGTACCCTCTATTGGGCCTCAACATAATCCTAGTGAGCATGATGTTTAGGTTATCATCTCTCTTCTTGATCATATGAGTTCTTATCATTGACCCCTCCCAAGCTGTCCCTTTGTCTATTAATCCACCCAGATCAACATGCTTACTGTAGGTGGTTTTTAGAGCTCGGGATATTCGGTTGTGCACCTGGCTTGGTGTCTGTTTCTGAAGCTGGTCCAATTTACCCTAGTTAGCAATGTATCCATGCAAAGATTTGGGGTGTTTAGGGGCTTGGCATTCATTCCACCATGTAGATGCTCCATACCCAAGCAGCGATGCTCAGTGTTTCCTTTTAGGTCTCCTGGACATTTCCTATGTTTCCTTTTGTATTAAGTTTATCCCAGGTAAAGTTTCTTCAAGGTTCCCAAGCAACCTCAATCTCTATGGTAAGAGAGTTCATGAGACAGGACCTGGGACGTGTTTTGGATCTAGGAACCCACTCAAGGGGTAGTAGCAGCAAAGTCCCATCCAGAAGTCCACCATGAGCAAGCTCATCATGTAGAAATGGGAGCCAAGATAATGGAACTCCCTCGGGGTCCCATCCTAGCAGCAATCAGTCCATAGGGCCTCTCTGTCCACTATGCTATGTGTCTAGTCACATCCAGGCAATGTTCTCTGGCTCTGGTCCTGACTGCTGAGCCTTTCCCCACCTCTAATTCTGGGAAATTTGGGCAGGAATATCACATATCCCCTAAAGCACCTCATGTCCCTTCCTCCATGGGCCCCAGTGATTCTGACTTCAATCTCAGTTTTCTCCCACGCTGGTAAAGTGTCCCTCAAGAGACAGGGCTCCTCCAGGAAATATGGAATCCCTGGCAGTATCCATGAAGGACACTTGCTATACCAACAGCTCACTGTACATGACAGACTTTCATGGACCTGCCAGCCCTCTGTTGTGATGACCGCCCCTATCTTATTTGCTGTCTGTCTTTCACTTCAGACAGATCCCACCCCAATCCCACCCATGTCCTCTGTGGTCCCTGCCTATGCACACACACAGAAATCTTCTTACCTCCTGTTGTGTGTGCAGTGGTGAAACAGGCCAAATTAGTGTTCCACTGAAGGACACAAGTACGCCAAGGGAGGTAAACAAAAGCTGAAAATGAGGCTTATCAAGAGGATGTAGGAATGCGCACACAAACCCCCAAGTCTAAAACCCAATTGTGTCACATGCCGACTCCAAGCCTGGGGAGAGCCACACTGGGGAGCCTCAAATGATTGTTTACCTGAAGCGCAATTAGCCAGAAATTTCCAAAGGCCTGATGATCCCCTGAATCCCACCCCAGGATTGTCTTATCAATTGGGCCTCACACTAATCTTATTGAGTATGATTTTAGGTCATCATCTCTCTTTGAGACCATATGAGTTCTCATCATTGACCCAACCAAGGCATTTTCCACCCTCCTGTGCTCCCTCATTCAGCATGCTTACCAGAGATGGTTTGTGGGACTCAGGATTGCCAGTGTGTCTCCTGGGTTGGAGTCCATTTCTGAAACTGGGCCAGGTTACCCTTTCTCCACTAGGCAGAATCTTTGTTTGTGCACATGGTCTTTGCAGAGAGTGGTAGGGCAGATATGACTATGCCCTTATCTTTTGATCCTGACATGGTGTGCCCTGGGCACAATCCTCCAATTCATGGGACCATGAATGCATTTAGGATTTCAGCAAAGATTGATGGATGGAGGGAAAGCTGCAGCATGGCACCCAAAGCCCTCACCCTGTGTGTGTTCCTTCCACCAAGTGAAATCTGGGTCCAAAATGTAGCTGAGCATCACACATGTACCATTAGGCAGCATTCTTGCCGCACATTCTCTCTCAATGAGTGGGTAACATTGAGCCTCATAGGCTCATAGGCTATGGCTCATAGTGCTTGTGCTTGTGCTTTGTGAGGAAGTGGTGGGCTTGACATCCTGGGATTCATCAGTCCTGTATAGGATATGGACATCAAAACCCATTGAGCTGTGAAATATAATTCCGACTCAGCAAGGATTTTAATGGAATCCTGGGGAGCTGGCCAAGGGTCCCCTGAGTCATTCCCACAATGCTTCCATCCGGAGACCCTAAGAAAATACTTAGATGATCAATGGCCTGGTGTACTTTGCACCACCATCACCATATTCTAACAAGGATGGATAGATGTCCTCTGCAGTGCACACTCTTTTCTTCCTGACCATCAGTCTAGTGGGATCTCATGGAGAGATGCTAACTGGTTTCCAAAGATGTGAAGTTTATTTGTATGAGTATGTATGGATGAGAAGCTATGCCTTTCTTTGGGCTAGGCACCATCCAAATTCTCATTTGAAGAAAAGGTGGGTGAAATGATGGTTCCACATACAAAGCCTCACATTGTGAGGATATCTGGACACTTGGGTGCCTAAGGGCTTTGAAGAGCCAAACCCACAAGCCTCAAGTGATCATTCGCCTCAATCACTAAATAATGTCACTCTCCATTGGCCACGTGGACCCCAGGATCCTGTCACAGGATATTCCATTCCATTTGGCCTCAGCATAATCCTATTTAGCATGACTTTTAGGTTATCATCTCTTTTCTAGGCATTTTGAGTTCTCATCATTGACAGAACTAAGTTCCTCACCACTTGTCTGTATACCCCCTTATGAGTATGCTTACAAGAGATATTTTCTGGAATGTGCGATGTCTGGCATGTCTTGAGAGTTTGCAACTATTATTGGAGCTAAGGCAAGCTCATATATATTTTTCCATTAGATGTTCATATAGGTATGTGGTCTGTGTTCAGAAGATAGCTCAGCTTTTGAAACATCCTATGTATTCCTCCTGCCCTTCTGGCCCATAACTGCTAGTTCCAATTCACAATGCTATGTCTCCACACATGAATCCATTATGCAATGAATGAAAACAAGAAGGATCCAGAACGGTGCAGAAGGATTTCCACCCATATGGCTGAACCCACAGTAATGGAACGTTGGGGATTCACACATGAGGTGAGCATCATTTATGTAAAACTGAGCATCAGTACCAACACACTGTTTTCCTGAATGTGGCATGCAGATTCTATGTCCATGATATGTTAGGCACATATTTCATCATTGCTAAGAATGGGCTCTATGTTGAAGCCTGGTCTAGTCACAGGGCCTCTGCAGACACATGGAGCTAGGATATAAAGCACATGAAATGTCTTCTTGGGAATCCATGTACATGGAGTTCTGAAAAACTGCCCACTGTACTCCATGCAGGCAAAGCATTGCCATAGACCCTGCCTGACAGATGCCCTTCCGAGGTACAGAGTACCCTGCTGTGCATCCCATCACAATTCCCATCCTCAAAGAGCAATTCCTATATGTTCCTACTGAGGCCAATTTCTCCCTTTATGTTTTGGTAGTGAATATGATTCAGGGAGAGTTGTTACTATGGTTTCTAATAATCTCAACCTCATTGGTAAAAGGGTGCATATAAAAGCGGATCTCATGAGGAAGTCATGATTACTCTCAACAGAAGTCTCAACGTCACTTGTAGTAGCATACATGGAAGAGTGTCTCTGCCATTCCCAGGGTCCTGGACACCAACAAAGATGGAATCTGCAGGAACTGCTCCACATCAAGTTGTAAGAGACCAGTGAACCCATTATGCCTAGTAGAAACAGTCAAAAGGCTGTGGCTTACACAGATGAGGAACACTACAAGGGACCTAGTATCATACAGCTATGTCCCTCATCTTGAGGAAGAATTAAGCACTCCTCAGGTGCCATCTTTCTGCGATTAGAATTCTATTTAGTGTTGTCGAGCTAAGAAAACCTTCCACCCATTTATATTCCTGCACCACTCCATCTGGTTGACCTGGGCTTGTCCCTTACACTGCTGGATGTTGCCTGAGGTTTCAATATCCACCATCAGTACTAGAGTCTCTGAAATGCATTAGCAAATTTGGTCTCTTGTCAAATACACACTGACATGAATTAATATGCCATGGGTTCCAATGGAGGAGAGGGGTCCTCTCTGGACATTAAGATCCCTTTCAGGTGCAATGATAATGTTTTACTTTCCTGACCTCCTACTGTGTAGAGCTGATGATCACAGGGAAATCAACACTTGAAAGCCATGGATATCTCCATCCTGACTAAAAGTATGGAATTGACCTTAGGAAGACCTTCCCCTCTACCCTATGTCCTCTACAGCCTCAATCTCTGGTCACATTCATTCACTCACCTTACATGGTGCAATCAGCCGTGAGACCCTGGCCATGAAATCCCGTCAAAAGACGGAAGACCAGTGATTCTAAGGAATAGCTCCATATGGGATGTCCTGGGAAGAACTACGTGTTTGCATACAAAGCTATAGCATGAGCATATCTTGGGCATGTGGAGTCCCACCAACAGTGGATGACCAGAGGGGGATACCTCTAGGAATTGGTAATCCCAAGCCCCAAATTCTATGACTATCCAAGTGCTACATGGATTCCCAGGGTCCTTATCCATGATTATGTCCTCTACTGACCCTTAGTATGATGGTCTTGTACATGATTTATAGGTCATCATTCCTCTTAAAGACAATATGAGTTCTTATCATTGACCCAACCAAGGCACTCCCCACATGTCCATGTGCTCCTACTTGAACATGCTTACCAAAGATGGTTTCTGGAAAGCTGGATGCCTGGGTGCCACATGAGTTTGTGCCTTTTCCTGGAGCAAAGCTGACATATGTGTGTGTGAGCTTGGGGAATCTTCATCTGAAGATATGGTCTGTGTAGAGAGAAATAGGACAGTTGTCAAAACCACCTTCCGATATCTGTCATTTTTTGTTTTGTATTTTTTATACCTTCTTTAATTACAGAATACATGAATACATTTAGACTAAATCAATAAAGGAATGTATAATTATAATGCTTTAGCAAATCCATATGCATCTTCATTCGTAAATAAAGGTTAAATAAGACCATAGTCTTCATTTATATATATATTTACACTCATTCAAAGGCCCACCAGCTCAGATTTTTTATTTGTAAACTCTCTGTGTTTTGTATAATTTTGATTTTATGGCTTACTCATTTTGTGCTTATATTTGGTTTTCTTGGAGCAGTAATTTAATATTTTTCAGGAACTCTCCTGAAATAACAATAGTAATTGGTTTCCTGAAAAACCTACATCTGAAGTTATTAAAATTTACTTGTTCCTTATCATCTAGGTAAATCCCTGCATTAGAATTTTTCTGTTTCAAAAGCCATGCATGTTTTGTTTATATTGTCTTCCATGTCCTGTTAACACAGTTTAATGTGTGATGCTTATACCCCATCATCGAGATATACGGTTCCACTTGTTTCATAAAAGAAACATGATCTCATGAAAGAGTTGCTTTAATGGTTCTGAAGAATTTCCCAATTTATGTCTATGATAGTACATTTCAGAGTTTTTGTATTGTTGATTGTGCATTCTTTCAGACATACATTTTCCCAAATTAATTCTTCAAATGGTGTGAATATTTGTGACCTCTTGGGTAAAACTTAACTGGTCAGATTTGACATCATGTACAGATGGCAATACCAATAGCACATAATTTCTTAAATTGTAATTGGAAATTTTATCAATCTACAGGAGTCACAGGTTAGCTATCTGAATTGCCCTCAGTGTCCTGCAACTAAGATCAATGGGTGTGGAAGTTTTGCCTCTCACCCTCTGAACACCATGGGTGTGAAACTTTTCTAGGTGAAGTGTTCTAAGATTCAAATGCATACTTCAGTTGTCATATCTCTGAAGTTTATTTGAGATATTTCCCTCAACCTGAACACGTACTGACTTGTGCCATGTTTCCCAATGACCATGAAGGAAAGATATCTTCCACTGCCATGTTACCTATTTCTTTGAAAATGACAAAGTTATGCTTTCTAGAGATTCTATCCTGTAGGGTAACCCTCAGGAAAAAAATCATCCCTCTACTACTTAGTTTTCCAAAATGAGTCAAACATTTATTGCTTTCAGGTGGCCCTCCCCATTTTCCCTATGTTTTTTATCGCCTCTATCTATGATTAAAGGCTTCATCTTACCTCATATCATTAGGTCAACCATTGCGAAAATATCAACTGAAAACATAAGGAGAGAAAAAGCTATCGAATTGTTCCTAATAAAGTCTCATTTGTATCATGTATCATTGGTCATGAAACAAAGCCAAAAACATGAGCAAGTGGTAGGTACATGGTATCTTATATACATTGCACACCACAAGGGATTTCCTTGAGAGGATTCTTATCTCAAATCTGAAATTCCATGATTCCCCCAGTGTTAATGGATAAAATAATGAATGAATGAATGAATGAATGAATGAACGAATACCAAGAAATTTGTATATTAAATAATATCTAAGAAATAAAATTAAATTTAGCGTATAAATATGCTGAGCATCATTGAATCAACATAGAAGAGAAATCTTTGTAAATAAGCTTCTATATTGGAAAATAACTCGGGACATGTCTGGTAAAATCAAATTTCCTAGGCCTCATTTTTGTCCACATAGTAATACTGGTATCTGGATTATTGGGCTTGATTATTGGCCATGAACATCCATAAAACGACCTTATAAAATAATGTAGAATTAGTTTTATTGAGACAGATAACCGGAGGCTTGAAAAAGTCCTCACAACCCATTACTGAGGCAACCCCTTGCATAAGGCTTTTAGGCTATGACTTGAATGACATAATTTTTCGTTCAGACTCCTCTTCAATGTTCCTATCAACATTTTCCAATCAGCAACATGGAATGTATTCTTTGTAATAGATATCTTTATTTCTCTTCTTTGGGCAAAGCTCTAAAGATGTAAATATCACATTTATATACATACTTCATAAATTGTTTTTGCTTATTTCATTTATGGTGCCATCTTCTAAAGGATTTGTGTCTTGAGAAGAACTTTAAATGTGAAGCTAATGTTTCATTTGGCAAAATCACATAGCTTAAAGGGCCAATTAGGAGAAACTAATCCGCAATTACTTAAATTGAAATTTTAAAGCCCTAATACTCCTCAGGTACCAGGATATAGGTATCTGAATATTTAAAGCGTCTTTTAGCCAATACCCATTGGCAGATTAATTCTTACATCTCACTTTTTGGATGTGATAGCCATGATCCTTCCTTATAGGAATTTCTTTCGAGTACCTAATTAAGACCCCAGCAGTTATTAACTCTTCAGTGTATTAGAGTTAGTTTTCAACCTGTGCACAGACAGATGGTAATGTTTCCACGGTGGGGGTGTTAGTGGAGGAAATATTTCCTCCATTTGGAATATTATCCATTTTGGGTATAACTAAAAGGTTTGCAGGGTTAATATCCCAATGGGCTGACTCCCAGGCAGATATCAACCCACTACAGTATTTAAATTTTTTAAGAGTCACTTATTTACCTCCCTAAGTCAGACCTCTTGTATCATCAAATTTTCTGTCCCCTGTATTTATGTTCAAACACATTCACTCACCTCAGATTTTAATGCAAAATTCTTTCCAAAACTTCCAACTGAGTAACACAATGATAGAAATATAGCTAAGGGCTGGTGAAGGATAGTCCTTTATGATGAAATATAGTTCAATAAATATAGCCGAAACTTGAGAATGTGTTTTTGACATGAAACCTATAGACAAGATCCCCTGAAGGGACTGGTTGCCTAAAGAGCCAAATCTCATTACTCTAAATGGGAAATATGGAACTTCAACAGTTTGCTTTGGCATTATCGAGTACGTTGACCTTCATTGTAATTTTATATAGTATCATTTTTATGTCATAATTTCGCTTTAAGACAACGTGGATGCTCAACTTTGATCTAGCTATGGTATTACCTACCTACGTATACACTTTGTCTTGTATATGCTTATCAGATATAGATTTTGGAGTTTGTAATGTCAAAATAGACATGAATTTTATCATATACCATCATGGACACCTGACTCACATAGCTTCATTCTGTGACAGCAAACAGTGGCATTTTTCAGAGTCATTATCTGCTTGGATAGTTGTAAGATAGATTACAAACCATATTGCTACACATCTCCTGGGCTTGTGATTTATCCATGCTCCATGTTAGGAAAGTATTATGACCATTTCTTCAAAAATGATCTCTTATAGAGTTCACATAGTGTTCATTTACCAAGCAGAAAAAGGATAATATATAAATGTTTTTTAACTTTGGATAAACTTTCAGGTGGTGGTTGTGAAAATGGGAGATATTCATTGGCAAATCTTATTCTAACCAGTCAGGAACTCATGTCAGAGTATTTGTCATGGTTCATTGCATATGAATTCCTATAAATCATACACTTTCAGCTACATGAAACTCTAATAAGAGCTCAGGATGATTGAAATTGTGATCATTTATAATTCTATGGGACCAAATAAGAGACTTTTTAGATCATGGCCAATAAGCCCTCTTATTTTGTGAGTGGTCTTAAATGTCTCAATTTTGACAAAAACAGAAAAAATAAAAATACAATAATTAGAGTATATGTCTACTTGTATACTTATGCTAAAGCAAATCACAAAATAGAGTGAAAACCATGGCAAAGAGAGTCTCATACCCTTTCAATAAACTTTCATTTAAAAAGTTAAGTTTTCTTCATGTGAGTGCTTCAAGTAAGTCAGTCATTACATTGAAAATAATAATTCTTAATGCTAATTTGGTGACACTAGACAATTCAAAGTGTAAATTAGAACTTTTAGCCTCATTTATTGTTGATCCTTTATTTTATGAAATAATGGAATCATAAAGGATCTGGAAGTCTGATGTGTGTTTCTTCATGAATATACACAATTTTAAGTTTCAAATTTTAGTCTAATAACCAGTACAACTACTTAATAGTAGCTCAGATACAGAAAATGTTTCAATGACTCCAAAGGAACCCAAAACAGTTAGAATCGCATAAAATTATAGAGATGTTGATTTTTATCTTGTATGTAGAATGAGAATATTAAACATTGTACTGAGAAACAGTGAATCTAATTTTATATCAATTTCAATAATAATTTCAAGTTCAAATAAGATATTTTGTGGTAAAATCATATTGCATTAATCAGTCATTTATTCAGAAGGAAAATCAATATCTCTATGCAAGTTACCTAATGTGTAAATTTGTGTGTCTTAGAATGGTCTCTTTCCCAGTACATGTTTTTTGGCATGTAGCTGTGACCAAAGAAAACCAGAGAACTACTATCAATGCAGTGTTTCAACCCTTGGTTAGATGTCTACTCAAAGACAAAGTGAGAGAAAAACAGGGAAGTTCTGAATTCTGCATGTTCCAAGCTCTTAAGAATTATAAATCCCTGAAAGAAAGCTTAAAGAAGGAGCATTTATTATTCACTTTTGAGCACATAGACAGGACTGGTTAACAGGAGGTTCTTTCAAGGATTCCTTGTCTAAAGTCCTGAATAAAATACCTAGAAAAAAGTAATGATTTCCAATATAGTACCCCAGATTGTCACCCTCACTTATTGTGAAAGTTTGTCTTCATCATTATTCTCTTGATCATGACTTTCAGTTATAATCACTCTTGAAGACAATAAGTTCTCGTTTTTGATCCTACCCATGGCATTTCAAATGC